TATAGGTTGATAGTTCGTGATGATTCTTATTTTATTAGTATTTGACAGTTATATTATGAATTATAATCACCATGATCAAGGAAAACATATACTAAAAGTCTAAAACAAAAGATACAGCTAAGTTGTCTACGTGCTATAGAATGCATATTAAACCCAATGAGTCTATATTTTTTTGTCTATTAATGAACAACGCAATTGCCGATTGGTTGGTAATTCGTCCATCAGTCTAAAGTTTTTTTATAATTTCATCTTGTCTCGAAATTCAATTGAAAATTGAATAATTAATCATTACAACTGCCCATATTATTATAATTATTATAAATGTATTGTTCAATATTATTTATTATTCATTAATTATTAAAAATGTATCTGTTCTTTTAAAAACTATATTTTTTAATGTTGCAAAATCAATTTTTATCGACAGTTCAACACTTTAGAAACCATTATTGTCGAAACGAAGAAAACTAAGAATTTAAGAACGTACATTTGCAATCCTATCGTACCAAAATATCATCATCGTGAATATAATATATCGTGTGAAATTGTGGTAGCTAAGTAAGTGCATTCAAACAAGATGCCAAATGCCAAAAGTAATAATAATAATAATAATAATAGCCACCTATAAAGATACCTGTTGTACGTTGGTATAAATCAGATTCTATAATATTAATGTGCAAACCGTTTTTTTTCTTCAAATAATAGATAACCATTATAATGTTATATTATTATAGCTACATATTATATTCTGCATTATCTGCACTGGACGATAAAATATAAAATATCTTCAACACGACGATTACACTGTGCGACTATACCAAATACGCGAGCTGGTTACCAAAGCATGTAGGTACCTATAATGTAGGTATACGCCTTTATTAATTACCTCGTATACCTATGAGTGTACCTACATACGTGTGGTCATATTACTATTATTACTATTATTATTATTCTTTTTTTTTTTTACTATCATTATTATTATATACTGGCGTTGGCGGTTTTTTTTTTTTTTTAGAGTTCCGTTTTAAATCATCAGCAAACGACAGCTCGGAATATATACCATTCACAACCTTAACAATACCATTACTACTCATCGTTTCGAACTGCTCGTATATATATTATGAACCATTAAATCGGGACCCGAAGGCACGACCTGCGGTGTCGTGGCCGAGGAATTGAAGAGGAAAACCATCAAACTTTACTGCCGGCGAACACTATGACGTGACGCAGGTCGTATACATATTATATCGTGTCGGAGAAGCCGCGTTCGCAGTCCGTCTAAACGACGATAATAATTATTACGACATGGGTGCCTAGGTATATCGTCGTCGTACAGGCAATATGTAGGTATAATAGGTACCAATCTATAATTTTTTTTTTTTTTTTACGTATTGAGAATAGGCGCTCTTCAGTCTTCAGAGTTTTGACTGTAAAAATATTAATGTGCAATGTCTATTTTTAGAGATTGCGTATCGGGTACGCGTCGGGCGCGCAATCGATGAAATCGAAAATATATTAATAACACGATAATATGCATAATATAATATCATTATAATAGTATAATATGGGTACACGTTCTATCGGTATTAATAATTGATTGGACATAAATTAAATGTACACACGTGTGATATGCACGCACACACATGCATAATAATAATAGTAGGTATATGCATACACGTATTATACGTATATATATAATATACGTGTATAAATATTGTTTCAAAAACTTCATCTCCCAAGGTTTTTATTTTTGTATTTCTAATGGTTCTTTTTTTTTTTAATATTTTATACCATAATAATATGTGTACCGCGTGAACGTTTAAAATATCATTAGCAATTATTATTATATGGTTCTTCTATGTAATACGCGAGTTTCAAAATTGGATTTCAACCAGTTTAATATAATTCAGACTATATATAACAGGAACGTTATATTATTATGTCTCGAATTAATATATATATATATATTATAATCGATCCGTATCGACGGCAGATCGATTATCGCGTCCGTGTGCCTATATACACACGATACAGGTACAATATACGTACGATTAATAATATCACGATCGTGAGAAGCGGCCAAATCGAAACAAAACGAACGTAATAATTATAACAAGCGGACCGGAGCTCGTCATATCTCATATAATATATTTCAAGATAAGCGTATCGTACGCATTGTATTAATTGTTATCAAACGTATTTGTACAGACACGGCTGATTGCAGTGCGAAAGCTGGTCTGCTGCACGTCGAACGTTCAAAAGAGTTAATATGCCAGTGAATTATATTATTATTATTATTATTATTATTATTATTATGTGCATCGAGAGAGAGAGAGAGAGAGAGAGAGAGAACCGAACGATATCGGTGTACACAAATAATATATGATATGACGTTATTGCTGTTCGATTCTCTTTTTCCGGCACGACGCGTGTCTGGTCGACTTCGTGATCGCATCCAGAGACACTTCTCATCAACGGCCACAGGTATATATATATACGGACATATTTTTTACCAGAGCGATACGGATCTGTAATATAGACGTTGAACCGAGGCGGCGGCGGCGGCGGCAATATATCAAAACAAAATATAGTTGGTAGGTATACACATATTACAGTAAAATATTGTTGTAAAATATGCTCGGCGTTCCTAGGCATGCCTATACACCTACATGGTTGTACGGGCAACAGTAATAATAATATGTAATAATTTATCCGATATAATAACAGCGCGAACAAGGTCGTACCATTTAATGCGGGAAAATAATAATAATTGATATCTCATAAACGCAAGGCGCAGTAGTCTCTGGCTCGTAATATTATGTACAGGTATACACTGCGGTACATAGGTACCGAGGTATTTAGTACTTACGGGTTTGGCGCGTATAATATTGTGAAAAGATATAAATTTTAACGAAATAAGTAGGTATCCGTCTTGAATTAACGGCCACGAGTGTAATATATGATTTGATGTGTAAGTGTGCGGCCAACTTTTTTACGGTAACATTGTCAATTCGTTATTTATTTCAGTTAGGAAGGTTTAACTGCAGTCAATGATTCCTCCGTGAAAATATAGTCTGAGAAATCGAAATTTCGTCCATGTTCGCGAAATATATTATAGGTATATACGTAATATTTAACACACCGAGAAGAAAAAAGTGGCACAATATTGTGAGCCTACAACAGATAGTGCACACCATTTGTTTCTGTAATAATATTTTACCTTTATCATTTCACTGCGACTCGATCGTTTACCACCGTTTCGTTGCGACGAGACAAAAGAATATTATGTAGAATCGAACCAAAAAAAAAAAAGAATTATTTCATATACAATACAAACCCACCCATACCTATCTCGCCCACACGCGGTGTATCGTATAACCGGATGCTGTGCGGCTTACGAACGGGCCAATCGGGGTGGGTAATTATATTTACCCTTTTACCAGTGTTTAATATAATATAATCGCGCAACATGTGCAGAGCCTGTGTGGGTAAAGATGATACACGATAAGTTTTACAACTATAGTAACTATCCGCTGTTATGAAGAATGCCAGTCGGACGTTTGAAAGTGTTTGGATAAAGTCGTAGGTCACGCGATCGCGACTCCTCCGATGACCGATTTGAGCGAACCATTCGTCGGGCATACTATTTTTCGGGGGGGTAGATAATTTTGCCACAGCCCGAGCGAGTGCGATTATGAAACGTTCGAACTACCTTATACCCATTCATAGCGGCGGCGGGTGCTTACCAGTTGCCCCCCGCGGCTATTATCGCGGTTTTAAAAATATACCAGTTGCCCCCAATCAAACGTACCAGTTGGCGGCAGTTGCCCCCAATCGAATGTACCAGTTGCCCTCACATGTTAATGAATACACAATACAATATATAGCTCGTAAAATAATGGAGGTAAATATACAAATCATAATTAATAAAATATAAAATTCAAAATTATAATAATTTGTCAACATAACATGTAATTTTAGGTGCATCCGAGTGGATATAATCGTCGAAAACGTATGAATTGTTATTTAGTTTGTTAAAAGAAAAATGCTCTGGCTTTGAACTTGATTTCAATCCGTCAATTATTGTATCCGATAAAATAAATATGAAAACAAAAATATTAGCAGATTAGATTTTGTAAAATCGGTTAGTAATTTTTATAACAAAACATAATACTTTTGAATTTTATACTATTTATACGTTGACAAATTATTATATTTTGATTTTGTACTATTTTATATTAGCAAATCATTATAATTTTGAATTTTATATTTTATTTATGATTTGTATATTTAGGTACCTCCCCTATTTTACGAGCTATATATTGTATTTGTATATGTATTAACATGTGAGGGCAACTGGTACATTTGATTGAGGGCAACTGGTACTTTTTCTTCTTGGTAGTTTGGGGGGATTTGGTATAAAAATAGGTACTTCTGGGGGCAACTGGTACATGCCCATAGCGGCTTTGATTTTTGGTACCTATTTAGTTACCTAAGTCTATCGTTTCCATAATGTTATTTGTTTATGTATTGCTCGACGTTATGAAGTCATGTGTTATGTACGCCCGCGTAATATACGCACAATGCTTTTACTATGTTTAGTTCGAACATTTCTGCAGTTGTCCCGACAGCTTTAGTTTGTTCATAACTCGTAAGTATTTTTATGCGCTTAATAATAACAAGTCTGTTTTATTTTTTTACTTTTTTGGTACAACCGTTGCGGTCGAATTTTTTGCCCGTCCTGTCTGTCGAGTACAGTAAAACGTTGACGTAATATGAGAGACTCGCGCGTTGAGCATTGAGAGCCGAACCTCCTCATCAGCCCAACTAAATAAAAATAAATAATTCAACTTCTTACCTACACATGGCGGTACAAGAATTTAGTTACGATTTTTTATCTGTTTTAATTAAAATATAAATACTACAAGCATATATTTTTTTTAAACTATTACCCGTATTCTTTACATTTTATTTATTTTTGATTAGTTTTATGAAATCACGTTAATTCAAAACATATTGTTTACATTATTTAATGATTATTATTATTACTGATCTGAATCTTCACCATTTTCTTCATCGTTTTCTTCGTAATTTTCTTCATCCCCTTGTCCATCACTGTCATCTTCAGTAAATTCTTCATTTTTCGAATTATCAATTGAATAATCTGTCTCATTCAATGATTCTACTGTTTTTTCATCACCTTTTCCACCATCGAACATATTTGATATTTTTCTACCCACTGCAGTTCCCTAGACAATTGATAACAAAAAAATATTTATATTTATCAAGTGTATTTATTAATCACAAAGCCACAGTTATAGTTATTAATACCCACTGATTTTGCATTAGCGAAATAATGAAATAATTTTAACTTCAGACACATTGGGTAACACATTTATGTTTGTATTAACAATATTATGTAGAGGCGAATTTCCGCGGAATTTAGTTCAACCAAAATAATAGTCGATGTAGAAATAGGTATCTAATAATGAATAAAGATGATAGCTACTATTGCAACTCCTGCCGCGTTCTTAGCAACTTCTCCTATAACTCCTCCTCCTCTTCTTGGTTGATTGGATAGACGCGCAGGATTTTTCTTGGATGGTGCAGATAATGATGTGGAGTTCGATGGTTTAGAAACATCAGATAATTTAGGTGCTTGCTGTTGAGGTACTTTGGGTGTACTTGATTTGTTATCTATAACTCGTGGAATCGATCTGTAAAATAAAAATGAATGCTGCACAGTTTGTAATATGCAGTGTCTACAGTTGTTGGATTTAGCAAAAATATGATGGAGACATTAAAACACATATTTAATCATTTTAATCACACTGAAAATACCAATTTTTAACTGTTTGATTGCCTACCTACTAGTCTTTGAACAAAACGAACCCATTATACAACAAATAACAATGCTAATTGCATGGTAATAGCTATTAACTAATACAATGTGTATTTTTAAATTGTTATTTCTATACTTTGGATTATACACTGCATTGTATAATAAAATATATAATATATTTCGTTATTTTCTATGGAAACCAAAAACTATTATTAAACACTTTCCCAAGCGTAATGAATAACGATAACAATAAATTATGATAGTAATTGTTCCTAACTTAACCGGGTAATTTTTTTACCATTGAAAGTTCATTATCAAAATGATTTACATGGTTGTGTAATTCAAAAAAGTGAATAACTTAAAATATAAAGATACAAATTATTTAAAAATTTAATTTTTAATAAAGACATTGTAAGCTGTAGGCACTTGAAATGATGTAAAAATGATATTTTAAAAAAACATTGATTATGTCTTTTTAATAATGAGTGTCCTACTTTAAATGAATCACCAGGTATTGTTTTTGATAGGTATCCAACATTGGTCGCAACTATATGATTTTATTTGTATGTAACGTGTAACATATTATACTGTGCGTTCTGAATAATCGATTTAACCCTGTTATTATTTATATCGGTACGAATTGACCTGTTATCAAATTTAGATATAAGAATATCGTCTTTTAAAACTTTCAGGGTTTTTTTTTTATATCTTTATAGTTTCCGTTGAAGAACCTATACAATTTGTATTATTAATTATTATTATACAAGTATATATTGAACTCGGGGGTATCGTAAGTAATATATAAATATTGTGCACGAAATTCAAATGAAGATTATTAAAAAAATATAATTTTATTATTCATCATTAATATTTTCATAATTTTACAAGTGCGCTGCAGTTGAAGTTTCCTTCGCCAATGCCTACTATTTACAACCCTTTAAACGAGAAAACGTTACGTTTTATTTGCCGACAATGATTTATATTCGTTTTCCGATCTTATCTGCAGGATTTGTGCACAACAGTTTAGCACGAATAATAGCATGTGAATAATACTTTAATTTTTTTTTCGATGAGTTACCCACACAGTAGTATCATGTTGTTTGAGTACACTGCAGCTCGTAAGACTACGCACGTTTTTATACTTAAATATTTAATATTATTGTACCACTACGCTGTAGTTAACACGGCGGTGTCGTTAAACAATACGTACAGAAGCGGTTGAATGAGCAAAAGACAAATACCACGTAATATGCATTTAAGTATACCTGTGTGTACTGCCTACATAAAAATATGTGCGTTTACAATAAATATTTAATAATTTGCTATTTTACGGTTTACGGAATCGCGAGATACACCCCTTGTGTACATTGCGCATTATTTTGTCATAGTCTGACGCACTAACGCGTTTTAAATTGTTTACGTCCACAAGTGTCACAACGTCGTGATGAAGGTACCCACACATCGGCGTATAAAAAATAAAACGCATCGTATTATAGCAGAAAAATAATTGTAGATTTGCAGATATGGTACTTCGGATTGACACCTGACGAGGTCGCGATCCGAGATCTGCGACCGTTCACGAACCGGTAGACGAGCTGGTAATAATAATCAAAACAAGCTGCAGACGATGTCAGATGTACGTCGTGTAAGTATATCATGGCCTATATACAACTCGTATCAGGTGGCCAGCGAAAACTATACGAGTGTGTTTCAATTTTTACGGTCGTTATAGGGAAACGCTTAAAAAATAACCTAAGCTAACACTCGTTTGTAGTGGTACCAATTTCATATAAGTACCGCGGTATACTGTGCAGATATGGTATTTAATCGGGTAAACGAAATTTCGCGGCATGTCGTCATGATAATATATTATCATATATGGTTTGACCGCGGACCTTTCCATACTACACTATATAGATAAGCAACTCCGGTTATTAATATTTATACTGTTATCAGTGAAGCTCGGCCAGCTCGGGTAGCTGCAGTTGGCCGACACTTTGTCGGTTCATTCGTGCAACGAAATGCATTAGAAACAACGTCGACGGTTCGACAGTTTGCACAAAATAATTCGTGCAAAACGATTCATATAAAATATATTATATTTTTTTCAAACCACCGCTGGTTTACAAACAGTAAAACACAACACAACGTAATTCATATTTACTGTATAGAAAACGCCATATTGTGTAATGCCGACCACCGACCACCTGCAGGCCTCAACTTGCAGCGAGACTTGGCTTATTTCTATATGCGCGTTTGTATAGAAATCTGTGAGTTTGTCCGACACAACATTGCTCCGGACATCGTCCGTTTATTATTCACTTATCGTCGTGCCCGTCGTCTCGGCGATTGCGATTTACGACGAGGACATAATTAATGAACTATATGACTGTACTCGACGACGTACGTCGTCGCGTGGAATTGTAATCGTACGTTTTTCGTACATATTTTTTGTTTTTTTTGAGCGAAAAGTCCCCCCCCCCTCCCCATCCCTTCCCGGTGTGACATCCGCTTGATAAAAGTCGACGGGCGTTTCGATGTGTGTGCGCAGATAATTTTCGAGGGGAAAAAACGACACCGCAGTGACCGCACGAAACGGTTTTGCGACGACCTCCTCGACGTGTCGATATATGTAAACAACATGCCATGATGCACGTCGTCAGAACGTATATATGTATGCATGTAGACGCCACACCGGAGTATGGTAAATACCGCGGTATACCGTATACTTACCTGTTGACCGTAAACGCGGGCGTAATGTTATGTGTTTAAAAAAAAAAATGTATAAACGGTAGCTCCGGCAGAGCAGCAGCAGCTGATGTGACCGAACAGATAACAGCGGACGTGTAAACGACAAAAAAACCGCACGAATCGTATAATATTATTCATATATTATTATGCAACACTTGTAATAAAATATTACTGCGTACAATCGTATGTCGAGGGCCGACCTGTGTCGCGATAATTATTACCGTGTACGAACGCGTCCGTATTTGACGAGTCGCCGTCGAAATGGTATAAAATAACGATAACGATAACGATAACGATAACGATAACGATAACGATAACGATAATATGTGTCCATCCCCGTCGGGGCAGACGGAATCGTGTTTACCTATACCGATTCGTACGGCGTAATAGTTTCCACGTGTGTGTGCGGATTATTTTATCGAATTCGAGCCCCGCCGAGTAACGGCGATTGCAGCACACGCGTGGTGTATACGTGCCCACCGAACGGGTGCGCACAAAAGTCGAATTATTGAACGATATGCAAATAAAAGACAGTGACAGACAGTGTTCTCGATATCAATCGTTGTGTACCGTGCCGACCTGCCGTTTGGCGCGCACGCAATTTAAATTAAACAACAACAATATTGAAGACGGCATATAGTATACCCTCGTGACAGTATATTATATACATATAGGCCGACGAAGCAAATGAGCCGCGAGGCAGAGCGTTGTAAAATCGGAATTGTGTCTGGTATTTTTGTGTTTGTTTTCAACGATAAAAGGTAATTCAAAAAGTGTGGATTATTATTTTATTTGTTGGTACCTACCTTTGGAAAGATGGGTGTACGACAATGGCGCCGCCCAACGTGGGGCTCGAACCCACGACCCCGAGACTGACAGTCTCGGGCTCTATCGGCTGAGCTATAGCCGGGCATATTATCGTTCAGAATATGAGCGCGATTACGTCGATTATCGGCGATAAACTGTGTGCACATTGTGTTTTATTTATTTTTCTTGTTTTTATCGAGTTTTTGGATTTTTACACGGCCAAACTGGTATGGACGTGAAAATCGATCGGGTAAAACGCATAGTGGGTGCCTACCTAATAATTACATATTAAAAAAAGTGAGGCGTCGCGGGACGGCGCTTGGCAGATGTGAAACGTCGTGGTCGTATATCGAAAGGACGGTAGTATTATATGGTTATTTATCAATGGGAGTAAACATGGCATGATCAAAAAAACCAAATTCAGATTTTTTTTAAGAAAAATTATTCCTCGTCTGCAGAAAGGCGCATTAGATGTTTCACATCGATGATATTATGAATACATAATATTTCTTCTCTTTTCGCTGTATTTTGCTCTTTTCATGGTTTCGCCTACATCATCCAGGTGCATATATAGACGTCGACGGTGCGAATCATTTTTTACCTCCTGCCGAGATATCCAAGTCACGCGTATATACCAAAAGTGTATATAACACAATGACACACCACACACCTTGTACCTACACACACACTGCACACACGTCACACACACACACAATACACTGACCATCGCAGGTGTATAATTGGACACGCGAAGTGTATTGGCCAATAATAAAGTATAAGAAGGCGAGCGGAGGCCTATAGTTATCGGTTAAATTAATATTTACACCGCCAGAGACAAAAATCGAGAAACGACGATGACCTGCAGTCGGTGATTTTTTTCGCTTTTGGAAAATTTTTTTTTACACACATAACAATATACTAATCTGTGCAGTCGGGACATTTCCCGAGCGTACTACACATCGCATCACATCATCACACACACACACACACACACACACACACACACACATTTCATGCCTTCACACCATTATGGTCGGCATACAGTGCATTGGTCGCAACTTCCGGGGTTCGGCCGGGGCGGAAAACAAAATCATTTGGTAATAAATGGACCGCTCCAATACCGACCGCATACCTAACACGTCATATATTTATATTATTTTGTTTCGTACAATAAACAATAATGTGTATTTATATTTTATAGCATCGAACGGCTGAGCACACGTGACTGAAACCATATAATAATAATGATAATATTATGGATGACAGTGGAGAGCGGCGGACGTGATGACGATGATTTACGCGCATGCGCGCTGCACTTATACCGCGCGCACCATGTCCAATCATCATCATATACCTATGCTAAAATATGACCAAAAAAAAAAAAAAA